CGCAAGGATTTCATCTCACTTCTCTATAATGCAAGAGCTTCTTTGCTAGCAATGTAGAGATCCTCTTATTGAATAAGAGTCTCCTTTCTAGATTCTAGCTCGGCTTGGACACTCTCTAAATCCTCTATTAGCTTAGTGATGAACAATTTGGTCTTTCCATCTAAATTTTTAGTTATCATATTTATTTCTTTATCACTAGATTTGTCATCACTAGAGCTATCACTAATATCACTACTAGAGATATCACTAGGAGGTGGAGGAGGTTTGGCCTTGGATTTGGATTTTACCTTCTCACCCTTTGCCATAAGACAAATGTGAGAAGAGTGGTAGTCATCATCGGACATGTTGTTGAAGAGCCTTGGTGTAGGAGATGACTTGTGGATAGCAACAGTTGCAACCTTCTCATCCTCTTCACTTGTGCTCTCTCTAGTTGAGTCTCATTCATACCCAATATGAGCTCCCCTTGTACTTTTTTCTCTTTCTATGGTCGGCATTGTCCTCTTTGTTGTCCTTCTTGTACTTGTTATCTTTGATCTCATATGGACACTTAGCAATGAAATGATCGGTGCTACCACAATTGTAGCATGTCCTCTTCTTCTTGTTTGGAGACTTTCTCTTCACTACCTTGTATCCTTACTTCTTTAGCCCCTTGTGAAGCCTCTTCATAAAGAGAGCAACATCATCAACCTTCTCATAATGTTCATCATCATTTTCATCTTCACTTGAGGATGATGTAGTCTCCACTTGCTCTTGGACTTGCTTGCTTGCTTTAGGCTTGCTTGTTAAAGCTTGCTTGTTAATCTTGGACTTGCTAGTAGAGCCTTGCTTGCTTGATTTGTTGGCCTTGAGAGCTAGATCCTTGATGTTTATGTCATCTAGCTTTGCTTGCAACTCACCAAGCTTCTTCCTCTCATTTGCTTCTTCTATTTGTATGTCAAAGGTCAAGATTCTCCCAAGTACATCATTTGGTGTAAAGTACTCAAACTTCTTCTTGTCTCTAATTAGAGTCACTATGGTCTTATTTCTAGGTAAATAAGCTTTCAATATAATCTTGACAACCTTGTGATCATCTAGCTCATCACAACCACAACCTCTAATCTTGCCCACCATAGTCATCAATCTATCAAACATCTCTTGTGGCCCTTCTCCATCCATGATCACGAACTGGTTGAGCTTTGCCATCAACAAATCAATTCTTGCCTTCCTCACTTTGTCAACCCCTTCATGTGTAAGGTACAAAGTGTCTCATATTTGCTTGGCAACATCAACACCAATGACTCTATTGTACTCATCACCATCCAAAGCACTAAGAAAGACACTTGTGGCTTGACCATTGAGATGAACAATTCTCATTTTATCTAGTGTTGGATTCTTGGGATCAACCGGTGGCTCAAATCCATTGCAAACAACCTCCCAAATGCCGGGGTGAAGACCTATAAGATAGACTCTCATCAAGTGCTTCCACTTGGCAAAGTTAGTCCTATCGAGATGAGGTAACTTGTCCACGGACACATTGATGAAAGACCTCCAATCAAGGTTAGTCATAGGCATAGAAGAATAGTTAAAGGATACGGCAACATATTTGTTGTTATCGACTTTGTCCTTTCCCTTCTTCTCCTTCTTGCTCCCCTTTGACACTTGGTAGGATTCATCATCATCTCCATCTTCAGAGCTACTTGACATGTCAGTTGATGATGCATTTGTTGCCTTCTCTTTTTCTTCCTTCTTCTTCCTAGCTTCTCTTCTTTTTCTTCTTGCTTCTCTCTTGAGCTTTCTTTCTTCTTTTTTTTGCTTCTTGTCTTCTAGCCATTACTGCTCCTTCTTTTTCTTCTCTCTGTCTTCTCTTTTTGCTTTTCTTGCATCCTTCCTTTTTCTTCTCTCTTCATCATTGAGAGCTCTTTCAGCATTGGTAGCCTCAAGATGTGGGAGTGTGGTGTTACTTGTTGACACGCTGAGCTCGCTGCTGTCGATGTCGTGCAGCTCAACTCGCTCTGGATCAACATCCACCGGCTTCATGCCACTAGTACCTCCTCCGGGATCCATAACTCACGCAGTGAAGCGCACACGAGGTAACCTGCTTTGATACCATTTGTAGGATCTCTGGTTAGCCTAGAGAGGGGGTGAATAGGCATGTTCAAACAAAACTTGAACTTGTGTCCGTGGCATTGCCGCTCTATGCCCACGGCATTGCCGCTCTGCAGCACTGCCGGGCTAGAACAGCGGCACTGCTGCACCTAAAGACAACTTCGTGATGTAATTCAAAATCTGTAAAAAGAAACTTGGATCCAACAAATTACTATGGTCCCTGTTGGTGTATGAAACACAGATCGGCGTCAAGAAGTGGTAGGAACACCACACACAAGTAGATCGGCCTCAAACCCTAGAAATCACCTCAACAATAATATGAATCACAAGAATGTAAAGTAAGCACAAGGTGACACAATGATTTATCCCATGGTTTAGCTCACCACTAAGGCTTGCCTAAGACCACGTTGTTGAGGTTAGCTACTAAGACTTAGGGATTTCTAACCCTTCCTCGTTCTCAAGTCAAGAGACTTAACTCATGAGATGAGGGGTGAATTTACTAGCTTCAAGACTTGGTTACAAACCTCCCGGGGCTGCCACACAAGTTGGCAAGCTCCACGGGTGACGCTCTAGCCGGCTAGGAGCCAAGCTCCAAGAGTAACAAACACAACAGCTGGCCAAAACATGAACCAAATGCTCTTTAGAGGTTGGAAATCAGTGAATCTGCTCTCTAATTGAGTTTGGCACCTTTTTCTCTCAAGGTTTGATGGGGAAATCAATAGAGAAGCTTGGGAGCTCAAGGTCACCAATGAAGGAGAGAGAGAAACACTTTTCTATTTCTGCTCGAACTGAACGGTTGGGGAAGAAGAGAGAGACGTTGGAAGGGAAGGGAAAAGGTACAAATACCCCCCATCCCCCAATGGTCACTTAAGTCACGGCAGTGCCATGGCTCAAGTGTGGCAGTGCCGCTCAGCGGCAATGCCTCTCTTTGGGTGCAACACTGCCGCACCAGGCAAGACAGCAAGGGTTAGAATGGAGTGTTGGTTGTCTTGGCTGAGAAAGTGAGGATGTATGTGGAATTTTGAGCACTTGGTAGCACATGTTAGCTTAAGTATTGTGTCCCCCTTTATAGTATGGCTTTTTCTATACTCAAATTCGAAATATAAGAGACTTTAAACCTCCTTTGAGTTTGAAGTCACCAACAATTATAATTGGGGGCTCCTCCGTTTCGTATAACATCCTCGAATATAGATTCTCTGCTTGTCATCTCGGTAAATCTCATTAGTTCTCTAATTGCATGGTCATTATCACCAAAACCCATGATTAGGGCTTGATTGTACTTTTAGAAACTTAAACGCTGCATGCTGTGGGGAGTCTCGGCTATTGAGAATGTGGAGGAGAGCCATGGTGGAGGCAGCCATTGCCGCAACAAAGCCAAGTGTTGGCCATTCAAGGCGTGACCTCAAGGCATAGGTCATGATTGTTGTTGGATGAGAGGGCACATTGGTATCAGGGGAGAAGGTAGCTCAGTGAAAGATAGACAATTGTGGATGCCTGAAAGTGGCGGTGGCATCAATGGTGCTTGGAAAGGGGAGACAATTGTGGAGTTTGTGGGTTGCAATGGAAGTTGCTTGTCGTTTATATGGACAAGAGCTTGCTTTGTGATGACCAGAGAAGAAACATAAGATGCACTTCCAAGGGTCATGACACTACACAAATTGATGGTCCATGACTAAGCATCTAAAGCAATGGTCTTGGAAGAGCTTGTGCACTAGGTGGTGGGGTTTTGAGCTTTGTACCTGCATTGGAGATTCATTTGTTGGGTACTGTGGGTACATTTTCTACCACCAAAGCCTCTTCCGAACCCCTACTACTTTGGGGGAGGGATTGGCTGTTGTGGAGCAACCACAATGGACTTGAGGTACAGAGTGGTGGTAGGTTGCACACGGCTACCCACCTGAAGCTTGCCATCTTTGGCAGGTTTTTACGGCTGATAAGCCGGCTGATGCTATTTTGTTGTGAGAGAAAAACACTGTACCATGGCTGATAAGCCGGGCTGATAAGTTCAAGCGAACAGGTTAGCGCGGCACGCCATGTAGGCCATGCAAAGTCATGACTGAGGAGGTATCGCTGATGCTGGGGACTTGGATCTCTAGCACAAGTGGTAGCAAGTGGGGCTACACCATCCCCTAGAGGTTGTTCTGGTCATGTTTCTTCATCTACACCCCGATCGAGCCACTAGCACGAGTAGCTAGCCGAAAGTGTCATCCTTATCATTCATCAATCCCTGATCTAGGTTCTCCAAGTCCTCGGCATGAACTTCAATGGGGGAGGCTTGGGAGTAGGTGTGGATGTGATAGATCGCTAGCCATCACAAATAGGGAGGTCTACGAAGAGGTGGCATGAGGAGCAATAGGACACTCCCGCATGCACTCGCATCCGTCGTCCCCACACTCTTCTCGCTCCCAAGGAAGACGCTCAGAGAAGCCATCATGGGTGGCTGCTGTCGTGACCTAGCGGCTGCGGCCAAGACCAGGGAGCAAGGGGAGCTCCTAGTGGCAAGACCTACGGAGCATCCAAATGCCAAGGACAGTCCAGCGGTGGATCTAGTCATGTGGGAGGTCCAGGCAACGGATCAAGCCAATTGAACCACTTTTCTATCTAATAATGACATAATATGCGGTCCTCCTAGGTAATCAAAAGAAAATGAGGGATGGAGAGACGGGGAGAGAGAAGACGAGGAATGGTGCCAAAAACACATGTCACACTAGCATGCTACATCCGTGAGGGTGAGCTGCTGAAGTAGTATAAACATAAGCTGCACAAATAATAACAAATTTAGTGACTTATATAGAAATATATTTTTTAGCCCTTATAATCAAACTCTTGCAACAAATAATCAGAGGTATCTTTATCTTTTCGTGTTTATACATAAATCGTCGATTAATTTGATGTACAACGCCACTCTTAGCTTATCAAGCGTAGTTGCACTCGATGGGTACAGTGTTATTGAACCTGGCCTTATCGGCGCAGTAGTCGTAGTTGACGTAATTCCTCTTCACGTCCTCGTACGCCGCCTGCTGCTCCGCGGTGATGTTCCGGTACTCGCCGCCGTTCCACCAGAGGTCCGGCGAGTGGCACGGCGTCGCGCTCCCGTTGGCGCAGCCGCTGACGTCGAAGCCCTGGTAGCCGGCCGTGAAGGGCCCCTGGGACCAGTCCACCTTGGTCCGCCCGCCGTCCGTCGCCCAGTCAGAGCCGTCCCACATGCTCGCGCGGATCAGCATCGTCTGCTTCGCCGGGAACGGGTATCCCGGCACGGTGCCCGTCAGGTTCCGCAGCACCCGGACCGGCGTGTCGTCTGCGAACATCCTGCGTGTGCACACGCGAATTGCACAACAACAATTAGGACTTGGGTGGAGGCAGACTGGCAGTGGCACCATTTGGATAGCTAGGATTTGTGTTTCTTACACGAGCTGGTATGGGTTCCAGAGGATCTTGTAGTCGTGGAAGTCGGCAGCGGGGTCGAACCAGAGGTGCAGCCGCTGCTCCCTGTCGCCGCGGCCATTGACGAAGACGTTGGTTTGGAGGGTGATGGGCACGCCGGCCTTGTCGCCCAGGAACTCGAAGTCCACCTCGTCACGGTTCCCATCTTCCGGCTGCGAGATAAGCTGGAAGAGAAGATTCACAATATGTGATCATCAGGAGGTGAAGCGTGAGCTGGAAGAGCAGATGCTGATGCTTAGTGATCATCGAGCAAGTACACATAATAACGTCGGTCGTGGAACTCACATAGAAGGTTGTGACGACGCCGGCCGTGTAGCCGGACGGCAGCTTCATCCTCATGTGGAAGAACCCTGATCCGTACATGGACTTGGACCGGAACCCGGCACCTGCAAGCACGCGCAATCATCACTCACACTGACAGATTTTATCGCAGCAAGAACGCAAAGGTCTCGCTTCACGTTGCACACGTACGCACCAGAGCTCTGATCCATGGTGGTATTAGCCTCCGTGCCCCGGATGACAAGGTGATAACCATCTTCACCCCACTGCACCACGTAGTTCTCGTCGAACGCCGCCGCCGCCGCCGCCGCCACCGGCGCCAAGCCAGCGACGACTGCCACCAGCAGGCGAACGACGAGGAGAACCCACGCGCTCGCCTTGGAAGCCATTGCAAGCCAAGACCGACGACGGACGACAAGAACGCGCGGTTCTGCGACGAGAGGCGGCGCACCTCACGGCCTCACCTGTCACGCCCTTTTATAGCTGTAGCTGAAGCTTGCGGTTGCACTACGTATGCTGGAAACAATTGGAAGGTGTGTCAAGTAGTGTGCTTTGTGCACACGCATGGACTACCTCTCCCCTGTCCCTGCTGCTGTGCACATCCCGTCTTCGCTGGCTCACGCACGCAACGCAAGCCTGATTTCGAATTCGGCCATGCATCCGTGCACTTGCGCAAGTTGTGCAGCAACTGCATATGTGTGTATCTAGCTAGCTGGGTGTCATGGTGTGTACGTACGTGATGCCGTTTTCCGTTATGGGCGGCGTTGCTTGGTTATCACAAACACTGCGTCTGCGTGGCTCTTAAATTCGTTCGTGCTCGCGCGGTATTTCCGTGAGTCCTCAAAATGGGATGACAGAAAAACTTTTTGTCCAAATACTAATTGGTTGTGTATTAGCAGATGATATATATATTGCACTTTTCCTATACTACAGTCGCCTGAAATCTCTATTAGCTTCAGGCGACGCTGCGTCCGTTGATGGAGCTTGAAGATCCGTGCGCTCTGTTGGGTTTCTATTGGAAAACGAACGTGATCCACTGGAAGCCAGACCCGCTAACACCGAACAGACCTGGCATTTGCATTTCGGAGTTTCTCGAGCTCGTCGCGGGACGGCAACTCTTGTGGCGAACTACGCGCTCCTCCCAGTCGAGCCGAGTCGGAGCCTCCCCTTCTCTGATTCGGAGTCTCGGTCGCCTCCGCCATTCCTTGAGATCGGCACCTACCTGCGTTAGCCGCACACTCCATTGAGGTTTGTTGCTTGAAAATTCCTTGTTGCTGCTGATTCGATTTGGTCCTCTTTGATTTTGTTAGTGGTTTCGGTTTGGATTGCTTGTAAGCAGTGGATTCGTAGCTAAGTTAGGCATTGCTGCTTGCTCATTTGAGTTTAGGGGTTGGCTCAGATGTTTTTTCAGTGTGGTGTGGCTTTGTAGATCTGGTTTTGGATGATGTGGTTCATGTAGTAGTTGTTCCTGTTAATTAGGTTTTGCTTGTCTAGGATTTCATTGGTACGTGGGTTGGATTCGTAGTTCATTTGCCGACAAAGCACATGAGACTGCCACCTTGTCTGACCCAAGTGGCATGCTGCTGCCGTTGAATCTGACATTGAACAGATCCAATGCAGTTTTAGTGTCGTTGTCCATGACAAATTCTCTATCTTACTAGGTTCATGAAAACTGGAGGGGTTCCACTTCCATCCATCCCATATCTGAACATGGTATTCTGAACATGCAGTCTCGTTTCAGAGCAATCGGTGTCCTGATTTCGGACAGCGACACCAAGAAACTGCATCCAGTCTGACCTCCTCTGTTTGCTAGAGAACATAAACTGTCCAAGAAGGTAATGAAGCTCGATCTGCTTTCTTCTGCTCTGTTGTTTTTAGTTGTTCCTTTTTTGTTGTACCTTACTGCCGAACAAAGCCTCAGAGCTTGACTATCAAGCTAATATTGTTTCTGCGGATTAGAAAACATTGAAGGAATTAGCGCACATTTCAATACATGCATGCACTCTTCGATATTCTCTGATGCGTTTCTATCTAGAGTTTTAGCTTCAGGTTCTTGTCATTAGTCTCTTTCTGAAGTAACTCGTGCTGTGCGAGCATTCCTGAATTCTACTGATCTGGTCCAGTCATAGGCCAGTTTTGATTGCAGTAAGTTCAAAGTGCAGCTTTCAGACATTGAAACAAATAATAGCTTCCTTTTCCAACCGCATCACTGGTCTGGATTTATACATGAGTACACCCATATATCTTATCAGTTGCCAATTAGCAACTGCTGCGTCGGCAAACAAATCACCAGCAGTCCAGCACCCTAGCCCCTAGGTGATAACAGTTGTTTTCTTGCCCAACATAATTTGCTCTCAATATGAATGCGGGCAGATCTCTTGGTCGGCCATTGTCCTGTGTTGCAAGCTTTTACTTTTCTAAAAACTGAATGCATGTGACGTGGTGTTTGTTTTTTTCCTGAATTGAATGTCCTGCTTCTCATGATCTGAAGGTATCTCAAATAGATGAACTCTGCTGATCCAAAAGCTCAAATAGTTAAAGGCATCTGAATGTTGCAGTCATCAGCTTAGGTGTTATATATGTAGCTCAACTTTTTTTGAAAACTGAATGACAACTATTGCAAGTTCTTTGCACTCTGTGCATGTTTGCTTGTTTGAAAATGGCTGCTTGTGTTCATTAACCAAAAACGCGAAAGTGTATGTTTGAATGTGTTCTTGGAATAGGACTGTCGGGGACCTAATACTGGGGTACCCAAAGAGGTGGAGCTAATAACCATCAAACGTTGATGCTTCCGAACAGACAAGAACGCAACTAATAGTCATTAAAAAAACTTGCAATTCTGTCGATTGTGATTTGTGCTAGCACACACGTCTTATTTGTCCTTGTCCTTTCATAGAAAAAAATTGTCACTTATGATTTGTGCTAACACATCTTGAATTCTTTTGATTGTGATTTGTGGTAACTACATGCAGTAACAAAGGCATAGTGGGCTGACAGTTGTGTGTTGATGCAGTTAGAACACCACACTCTCTTTCTCAGCCTCTCTGTCTATATTTGTGCCAATATAGACCATATTTTTGTCCTTGTATTTATGTTCTTTGTGATTTTTTCCATTGCCTGGACCTAGATTACTGTCCGGTTCTCTTCTTCCCCAACCGCCCACCCACTCTCTAATGAGTGATAACCAATGTTGACTACTTGTAGTATGTAAACTAACCAGAGTTCTTTGTAAGAGACGAACAAAGATGTGCCAACACACATTTTATTTTTGTCATTTGTGTTTCTGTTTGTGCAGAATCTAGTTGTTCTTATTAAGTTCAGTAGCAGTAGTAAGCAATTAACTTATAGCATTCCTTGGTTTTTAGATAGCAGCAACAGGAACTCATGAAGCCTTCGCTGTTTGGGCTGGGCAATTGTGTTTATTTTGTGGAATGCATGCAGCAGCAAGGTAAGCAACTTGGTCATCCTTAAGGTATATCATCACTGAGAATTGAAGATGGATTATTACCAGGTTTATCATTGTCTAGGTCACCAAGCTTTGTGATTTCAGGGTGGATGACAATGTTTGTTCTATGGGTTGGGCACAGTGTGGCACTCACCTATCTGTAGGTACAAATCAAAGAAAAGTTCAGGTTATGTCTCATTCTCAAGTATAAACATTATCCTACTGAAGCTTCAATTTTCTTTTCTAGTAACGTATGGTCCCTAATCTCACATATTTTCCAGGTTTGTGGACTCAAGTGGTCTTATAACAATCGTCAGCTTGCATCAGGTGGCAATGATAACAGAGTAAGATGCCTGCAATCCTTGTTTATCTCTCTTGTCACCATTACAAAAATTGCAATCATTTTCTGAAGGCCTGTCAGCCTGTGATAATTGTCATGGAATTTTGAAGGCGTAAACCTTATAACTGTCTTTTTTAACTTAAAGCTGGGAATGGTGAAGACATTTTTACACAAAATGGTAGATGGAACTTCAACAATAAGGTCAGTATTTGTTAGTCTGTAGTCAGTTAGTTTGCCCTGAAATGAGAAATGTCTTGCATTCATAACCCCACACTAAAGAAACTCTGTTCTGAAATAAGAAATGTCCTGGCAGACATGTTTGGTGCCTGCAGGAGGAACATACTACTGAATTTTTCAAGTGCTCTATTACTTGTAGTGAGACTATGACTTGGTTCATAAGGCTTGTGTAGCTTGGTCCACCCTGTGATAGAATTGTAATTGTAGTTACACAATTAAAACATTCAGTTACACAATTGCAATCACCAATAATGTAAATTGTAGCTATTGGGCATTGCAATTGTGGTTCTCAGCATATGCAATTGTATGTTTGAATATAATTTAATTTAAGCTTGTAACATCATATTTATTGCATAAATTACATAAATTAATTGGCCACTCAAATTGACCGTATGCTCCTTTTCTTGTGATTTGTGCTAACTCACCTTTTTTTTGTTTATTGTGGTTTGTGCTTGCTGAAGCCAAGTTTTTGTTCTTGTCTTTTCATAGAAAAAATTTGTCTCTTTTGATTTGTGTTAACACTTCATGAACTTTGTTAATTCTGATTTGTGTCATTACACATATCATTTTTGTCCTTGTTCTTGCACATAAATACAATACATACTCCAGAAGCTAAGCTCCTCCTTGTTTTTTTCTGTAGAAGTTTTTCTGTTTCTGTGCATGATATTTGCTCATGATATTTTCACTACAATAGTGTGCCAGTGATGATCTCCAATAGTTGGATGTGCTTATGGCAGCTCACTCACATGCAAGAATGGTTGCAGTAGTGTGCCAGTAGGATCTGCTTGTATAGATGAGATTTGTATTCTTTTTAGCTTAGCACTTTCCCTACTAATTTTTCATTAGTACTTAGGAAATCCTCATTACTTATTGATTTGTACTGATTAAACTATGGTCTTTTCATTGGTGATGTGATCATTCTTAGGGCCTGCATTGATAAGCAGGTTGGATTAGTGGTGTAGATGTCGTCCAAGCTATTTAGTTACCTAGTGTCGGGTTCATAGACCCGGGGTCCCTAATAGGACCGCTTTTCCGCAAACTCGGCCCAGCAGGCGGCACAGCGACAGCACGCGTCTGGGCCGGTCCAGATACACAATGACAATGCTAGGCCACATCCGATCTCAACGTACGGCAAAACTATAAATATTTACTTGTCGGCCATATTTCGCACCGACACCTAGTGATGTATGGCAAGTTCACACTTAGACCTTAGTTTCTTTATTTTAACAACTCCTTGCTTGTATAACTGTTAGAGCGATGCTATCCTATTTTACACATACGAGTCCATGTTACTTCTGTTTTCCCCTTTACAGTGGTGAGATTGTTTTTCTTGGTGACTGTGCGGTCATGTGTTGGGTATCTGCTTC